AAATTGCGAAAATAGGTTTCTTAGCATTTTGCTGTAGTATCGTAAAGAAGGGTTTAAATCTCGTATAAAAACATGCTACATATACGGTTTTTTTTTTTGGTATGAAGAGTTCATTTTTGCACTTCACTTTTTCCGAAACTTCCACCAGAGGGCGCAACAGTGAAAATTTTCCCATTTTCTACGAAACCCATTTTCGCCATTTGACGAACTCCAAATTTAGTTTGGACCCATGGCCAATTTGCTTAGAATTACACGTTGAATCCTCCTATGCTATACGCGAATAGTAAAAAAAAAAAAAAATTTACCCGCCCTAATACATGTATTTATATTCACTTTGATTTTAAGTAAATTTTCGGTCACGAGCGAGTTTTATTTGCCCAAACACTATCAACACCCTTTTTAGCATCATTCAAATGTTTCGTCCTTAATTTGACCGTTTGCCCTTAATGTGCCCATTTTCCCACCTTAAAGTACTAGCCTCCTTGTTTAATATTTTTGCTTACAATCTTATGTTTCGCACTTTTGTAAGGAGACCATTTTTCAGGGGAAGTGTCGATCTACTTTTGGCTCGCTTAATTTTTATTTTGGCTCAAGAGTTGTTCTTATTCTTGCGCTGCGCTCTTGAAAAACGGAACGAAATTCATAATCGGCCCATCGCGAATTTCACACGAAAAAACATTACCAAAAGTTGTTTTTGGTTTGCATGTTAAATAATGGAAACGATTTATTCACATGGAATCGGCCCTGATTATATCTTTTTCACGGTTTTTTGGTCGCATTTTTCCTACTTTCTCAAGCGTAAAATTTGGGTGTCAATATTTCATAAATAAATACCAGTGAATTCCTGTGTTCAGCTCACTCGTTGAAGTTTATTATATTATTTTTAGTTCACCAGTTTTTTTTTTGCTCACGAATTTCTCTTAAGAAATTAACTTTTTTTTTAAGAAACCGAGAACAAAGTTATGATCGAAACGAAATGTGGTTCCCGTAGTTTTGTTCCCAAGAACGCTTAAAAACTCAAACCGAAATGAGAACAAAAACTTAGGGAGTGTTTTTACAAAAACGAAAGTGAGAACAAAACTTTCGAGAACGTTCCCAACGGGAATTATATAGAGATCGAAATTGGAACAAACGTCTTCGGAACATTCTGGCAAAGAACAAAACGGTAAAAAAGTCGAAGGAACTTTCTATCGAAGAACAATTTGGGAACTAAAGTCTCAAGGACTTTTGATAGTTTCTTCATTAGAATTCTTATTTGTTCCACTCTCCAGGACAGAGAGAGTGAAAGTTAGGGTGGTCTTGCCTCAGATTGTCATTTTCCCTTGTATATACTTTTCTTTTGCTTCCAAAGTGACTACATTTATATGAAATTTTGTTTGCTTGCAAAATCTAATTTTTGTAATTAATAAAATTTTACGTGTTTGGAATGTACAGGGAATGGCAATTTTTTTGGTAAAAAAATTCATCTTTAAATACAAGTGTGCTGACTGAGTGAGTACCACAAATATTTAGAGTGCCAATTTCGGATCTTTAATATGTAATTATATTTTGTTTTATGAAAGCTATGCATAAAAAATGTTCTTAATTTTTTGAGTACACTTTTTTCATTTTATGCTCAATAAATTTTACGATTAAAATACTCGAGCGAATTTCATGAAAATACTTTACCTCTCATTCCAGCAATAACCGATATTTCAAGCTTACTTAAGCTACCTGTTTTTAAACAAACATTGGTACAGTCGTACAGCGATAACTTGCACTTTCTCTACATAAAAAAAAAAAATAAATCGGAGCTTACGTTCGCTTTAGGTTTTTTTTCGCTGCTTAAGCTCAACTTCTGTTGGCGCGCACCTTTGTTGCACCACAACAACGTTCAAGCCAGCGAGTGTCTACTGTACCAACAGTAAATTTTTTGTATAACGATAATTCATACATATGTACATATGTATATGTAGATACACTTATGAAATAACATCAGCCTTAAATTTATGCACCCATGCAATTCTTCTTGTAAGTATACAAAGACGAAGAAGAAACTTTAAAATCCTTAATTTCACAATTTCTAAATTCAAATGCAAACAAGTTTCAAAGAATACATACATATGGAATTACGAGAGTATTACGTTAATTTTTTTTTTTTGGTTGGATGGGTTATATGTAGCAATATTTTGGTTTTCTTAATTCCGTAATAAATACACATATTTTGGTTCAAGACTTTTTGTTGATTGAGTACTTAATTTTTTTTTTTTTCAAAATTTCTTGTTAAGGCATCAATTACATACATTTTTCAAGTCGATTTAATTTTCTTCTTACTGGTTAGTCTGCATACGTTCATTCGATTTTTTATTTTTTTTTTTTTTTTACTATTTACTATATGCTCTGAATTACGGTTTTCGCAAAAACTTGTAAGCCTTAGTTTATTACTTAAAAGCAAAACGATTTTAAATACTTGGGTTAGTATGCAGGAATTGTATTTATGTATAAATTCTGAGCTTTTATTGCGTGCGGTACATACATATGTTTGGCAAAGGTAATGAAGTGGTTATGGAGAAGTTGGCATATTTGGAGTAATGAGCCGTTGAAAATCGTTTGACGCATACGGGTGTATATATTTATGATTTAACTATTGATTTTAACGATTTTGTGACTTCGTGAGCTTCTTGTTTAAGTTGTTATTATGATATAAGCTTTTAACCGCTTTCGAGCCATATTCAGCGTACTTCATTGCACTTATTTGCTATTCAGCACCATTAATATCTGCCTAAGATAGTCGCTTTTCACTTTTACTGTCTTATTTTTGCTTGATTTTAATTTAAAAATGTCATTAGTCTCATTCAGCGCAATTAAGCGTAAACCTAGAAACGAATTTTTTTACGCTGTCTTTCATAGTCACATACAAAGTAGCTTTTTTTTGCAATTCAGCTCATTTAGCTGCTATTCAGCGCCTTATACTAATGAGTGTAATGTTGGATTTGGCTGCACGTTCGCACACTAAGCCCGAATAAGCTCTAGCAATGCCCATATAGACTTGCAATTCTATAACAGTTCATAGTTTGCTTATCGATTACTCTATCGTGCGCATAATACAATTCAGCTCGCTTATATTTGAATTTTAGTTGTAAGCACATTCATATTTGCATGGTATTTATTTGTTTAGCAATATTCAGCGCATTTAACAGCAATTCAGCACATTATTTATGCACTTTTTACATGTACGAATATATTCCCTAAATATTTGCATGCACATTAAGGTCGATGAAGCCTGTTAGAGTGATTACATGTAACTAAATGCTGACTCGAATTTTTATGATTAAGGATTTACTAAAAAGAGAGTGATTACCAGATACTCTTGGCTGTGCTGACAAGGTATATACTTATGATTTGTAAGACTTGAAATGGAAAAGTGATTATCAGACAAATATATGTATATATCTGTACTCATATTTATATAATACGCATTATATATTTTATACGCTAAGGCTATTTGTATACTACGTCGGATTGAAGCGTAGCCTAGACCGAAATACTTGTTAAGTTCGCTAAGTTTTTGGGTACATCCTCTTGGGGCTGCACGCTGTGATTTTTTATGTAAAAAGTGGAAACCGAAAATTTTACAATAGTTGCCATGGAAACGACAGAGCGTCACTTTATAATACTCAATTGTGAAGAGATAAGTCCTGCTGTCCTCTACAGTCCTCTTCTTGACCTCCCATCAGCGCTCTACCTTATTCAATTTTCCATTTATGATTTTCGCAGCTATGGCCACGCTTTCGCCCGCTTACAGCCTATATTCGTAATGTGCTGAACGCGAGCGACGTGCGCCCGAGTACCACCTATAAGGGAGCTGTTGCATTGAGTTTTGCACCGGCGCGGAGAGTTGCTGCTGCTGCTGCTGCTGCGGCGAATTCAACGACAATGAACTGCTGACCAACGCGCCGGGGCTGCGCGCCAATTGCAGCGCAGTGGTTGGAAAGCGTGTCGCGCTGCCCTGCTAGGAGGATGGTGGCGTGGTTGCTGACATGTCGCTGGTGTGGCGCCTCGATATGCGCCGGTTAAACAGCGATATTGTCGATTGGTTGATGTAGCCGCTAGTGCTGCCGCCAACGCTGCCATTGTTGCTGTTACTGGTGTTGATACTGCCATTGCCGCTGCTGGCGTCCAGAAACGCTTCTGGACTGAACCGCACGCGACTGTGCTGCGACGAAATGGAACCCTCTTTAGCACTCAGATACGAGCTGTCATCGCTGGTGAGCGAGTCGGGTGGTGTCGGATTGGTGGGCGTGCCCTGTTGTGAAGAGACGCTGCCCGTACGTTTGGTTACGCTACCACCGCCGTTTCCGCCACTTATCACCGAAAGACCATTGCCCGCGTTAGCGCCCACATCGGCTGCACTCATTGTCGTCCCGGCCGTGCTGGTGCCATTTGGCGTCTTGTAACTATTGTATTTTTTAAGCGATGAGCGCAGTTTGCTAGCACCGCTTCCGTTGAAGCCGAGTGCCGTTGTTGTTGTCTGCTCGAAAGGAAGAGAAGCTGGGCGCTCTTGCGCGCTCATTGGTTTCATATGAATCGGACTAAGCGGCGTCGACTGCGTGTGCGTATAGAGGCTATGTTGCGGGGTGCTGAAAAGCGGGTGGTGCTGCTGTTCGCGCTCCCGTTGCAGCTGTTGCTGCTGCGCTAACGTGTTGTGGAACTTGGGTCTATGCAGGGGACTGCCGATGTATGCGGGCACATTCTCATAGTCGCGTATGCGATTCAATCCGCCGCCGGTCTCGCAACCCATGCTGCCGCTGGAGCCGCGCTTTAAACGCTGCGTCATTTTGGGCGAACTCTTATAGAGCTCGTGCTTGCTAGGCGGCGGTACCACGCCAACCGGAGCGGGAGGCGGTGGCGCCAGTTCGCGATAGTGCGTATAGTCCGGAGCACTGCCTACGATAGCCCCACCGGCGCCCACATTGATGTTTAGCTGCAGATTAAGGTTGCTGTAGTCGTACAAATCGGCGTTTGCATGCAGCTCGTCCTGATCGAAAGAGAAGCCTTGGTTGATGTTGGAGCTATTCGAAATGGTCGAGGGTGTGCGACGATGGCCAGCGGCGCTGACGCCCATCTGAGGCACTCGCGGAGGCGGAGTGCGCGTTTGGTAGTGCTGCTGTTGATGTTTTGGCGTGACTTGCTGCTGCTGTTGTGAATCGTAATTGTAGTCGTAGTAGTTAGGCAGACGGTGATTGTAGTCGTAGGAGTAGTCGGGATAAGATTTGCAGTCGCGCTGGTAGGCCAGCTGTACCTCTGGCCGGTACGGAAAATAGTTGGATCCTGAATGGGAAGAAGTTATGAATCTAATGCGAATCATTCGTGTGCATGTAGACTTACCGAAGTAGCCTGCGCGGTGTACACCTGCGCCGTAAGCGCCGCCGTCATTGGAGAAGCTCGGTCCATGGCGCAAGTAGTCTGCGCGCGTATATTGCGTGGCGGGCGGCGCCATTCCACCGCCAATGTGAAAGGCGTCATCAAAGTGCCGCGTCGGAGGCGTGTCATCGTGCATCGAATACTCGAGTTGCTCCGTAAACGAAGAAGTGCTGATCTTGCGACGTGGTGAAGGCGTCGGTGGCTGTGTGTGGCTACCCAGCGACGATGACAGCAGCGCCGAGGTGTTGTTGGTAAAGTTCGATCCCAAGCCGCTGGTAGTGGAGCCGGTCAGCGGCAGTTGCTGGTGCTGCTGTGTTTGCTTCTGTTGTTGTTGTTGCTGCGCCAGCTTACTTCCGGCATCGGCCAAGGGCAGCGGGTGCTTTTGGAAGTAATAGTTTGGCGCGGCATGCATTTTGGGGGAGCCGCGCGGACTCTGATGCAAGGGGGCGCGCTGTTCCTCTAAGCGCGCGAAAGTGGCGGCGTTCAGTGTGGCACTGTTATTGAAAATAAACAAAATACAAGAATGTGTCATTAGATAGTGAAGTTGCCACTCACCGTTGGTGCTTATTGCCAGTGCCGTGGTAAGTGTTGGCCGCAAAGCGACTACGCTCATCCAAAACGCTCGGAAACTCCATTTCCATAGGCGCCTTCAGAGCGGGCACATCGCTCAGCAGTGACGGATGCACCGGTGATACGTTCGAGATGCGCACATCGTAGCCAGCCGCGACGCCAGCCAACAGCGCGGCCATATTGTAGAGCAGCACCTCGATGACGGAGAGCTTTGGCTTGCGCACTGCGTCGCCTGCATACAGCGTCGGCATGGGAATGTTGGAAGTAAAGCGGCTGAGCAGGTAGGGGTTTGGCGACATAATGGGCAGCGGCGCGTCCATGATGGTGCTGCTTGCACCTACGGTGGCGGCAGTGGGCAGCGCATGCAATGGCGAGCACCAGTCTTTGGAATTGTAGCCTGAGCGCGTTAAGGAAGGCAGTGAAGTGAGAAAAGTGTAAAAGTTGTAATTGTGTGAGAAGAGAAGTGAAAAAGGGGGAGGCGGCAAGGAGACGGTGGCCAGCAGTGGAGCCGAACCGCAGACAAATCAAGTTGTTAGAAATCAAAATGTGAAATTCAAAACCAAAATGAAAACTAGCCAGCACCAAGGAGTAAGGAATAAAACTCAAGGTTAATTGTAAATAAAACTAAAATACAGACTATTTATTGTTTTTTAAAATTTATTTTAGTGGTTTTGTATTATAATTTTTTTTTTAGAAATTTTCGTGGGATTTTCAGTATTTTTTTTTGCTTTATGGTATAAAATGGAATATTTTGCGTAGCTTAAATTTTTGTTATAGAAAATTCTTTAAATATGCTAAAAATTACATTAAAAATATAGCGGTATGTTGCAATAATTATGGTACGCACTGTAGAATAAACAAAGTCAAGTCTAAATAACTTAGGTAAACAAATTGCGGAATTTAACGACAGAAAAAAATTAAAACAAATAAAAATTTTTACAAAAATGATAAAAAAAAAATTCAAAGCTGAATAATCTATGAAATAAAACAGTAGTGGGTTTAAAGAGTCATCGGCCCGTGCGGCGGGGGAGAAGTGGCTTATTTGAAAAAAGAAATCCATATATATATTAACTTTTGGCTCAAGCCCGAGTTGAAATAAAAACACCCAATATAATTACCTTCCTAGTTTAGCAGCCGCAGCCTAATGTTCTTGCTGTTGACTTCAGACTGAAGTGGAATTATTGATAAAATAAAACTCAACCAAATTGTATAGTGTTTTATTTCAACCAGGCCTTCAGCCCAACAAAAGATAATATAATATTCAATTGACGGCTAAATATGGATGTATATAAAATGTTAATTCATACAAAAATCTATTACGAAAAAAAATGTGTTCGATGGGCAGATAAATTTTGAAACCTATTTGAGAAAACGGCACTTTAAACTAAAAACAATAATTAAAAGGTGTATAATTACAAAAAAATTTAACACTAAAACAAAATTTTGTTTTCTGAAAATAGAAGTTCAAAATTAAACAACAAATGAAAAGGAAATGCCATTGAAAATAAACAAAAAAAAGTTTGGAAAAGCCCTTTCGCCGCTTAGCCGAGACTCAGAAATCCAAGACAAAAATATTTTCGCTTCAAACCATTTTTTTATCCGAAATTTAAATAGAAGTCTATAATATATATATTTTTTTAATGTTTAAGAAATAACATTTTATATAAAGTAAAATAATACGCAGTTAACGCCAATCGTTTCGTTTTGGTTATATGTTTCGGTAATAAATAATTTTGGGGCAATAAAAAAAATATCTCTACTAACAGCAGATTTTTTTTTTGCAATTTCGTGATGTTGTCTATAGCGGATTGGCGCTGACAAATAAAAACCAAAACCCAACAATAAAATTAAATTAGAAAAAAAAATGTTTCACCAAAACTGGCCTGTAGCTCAAATACAATTAATAGTTAAATCACATAAAAAAGTTAAAAAAAAAAAATTATTAAACACGTATACATTTTAGGCGCATATAAGAAATTTTGCAATTGAAAAATTGGACATTTTGCACAGCTTTTACATAAAAAACAACAAATTTTCTTTACTTTGTTTCGTTTTGTGATCACAGTTTTTCTAAAAAAGAAAAATACAAAAAAAAAGGAAAAAATAAAAAAAAATACATCGATAAAATTTCTAAAAAATATGCAACAGGTTGCATTCATCAAATAGAAATGTTTGGAAAATATTTTTTTACATACAAAAAATAAAAAAGGAGATAAATAAGCTACATTTTTTTACTTAAAAATTATGCGAAAATTGCAGCGCCAACTGTATTGAATTGTAGAGAAATATATATGTAATCGCGGTATTCCGCACCACAGAGCTGTGTGGCGTGCGTGGCTGAAGGAATACGGTGGGCCCGCTACACATTTTTTCTTTGTATGTTTGTATGCATGCATAATCGAGTACTTTACACGCCTAAAGAACGTGCAAATACACAGCTATTTGCTAACAATGAATGGATTTCTCCGTTTTTCCGAAGCACTCAAAGTCTTATATTTTAAGCTTAGATCCTATTTTTTTTTGTTTGTTTTTGTTATGCTATAGTTTAACTTAATTGAATACAATTGTATTTGCATTGCATATTTCCAATAATTCGCCAACATTTCCGTTGCATTTTTACTTTTATAAAAACCTTTGAAAAGGCGCGGCATCATTCGCCTGGCTATTTAGCGCTCGTTTGTTCAAATTCTCCACGGCGTCGTTGCCGTGGTGAGTATGTTTGTTTGCTTTTTGCGTTTAAAAATAAATGCATAGAAAGGCACATACACCTTACGCTTAGATATGCGCTTATGCGCAAATGGGACTCGGGGGCATCTTTTTCTTGGTGAATAAAATTACACAGTCTCCGCTCAACAGTGTATTTTGTCTGGGTGGCGAAAGATTTATTCAACCTTACGAGGTTTTCACCACAGTGAACTTTTTCAAAAATGCATCGTTTCCATTATTTTGGCTTTCACACTTCAGCACCGGTTCAAAAAGCCCTCTTTTGAATTGATTCCTTTTAAGTTTTAATTATCGCATCCCTTAGGGCTCTCAGTAATTCCTAAACTTCGCTCTACCTTCAACTCACTCAGGCAGTTTCGCCCGCCACACTATACACACTCTAACTGCTCGCAGGACTTCGCCTTCGCCTTCGACTTGCCGCGCGTTTCGTGTACAAACTCCGAATTTGCGTTTTCAAATAATTTGTATTCGCTCTCTGACTTCTTCTTGCGTATTGTAAAGTAATTCAGTATGCTCTGCATTTTGTGCTGGAAGGAGGCCGAAGACGTGCCAGGCTCCTTCGCCGCCTTGCTACTACTGCCGCTCTTCTTCGCCTGCATATTGTGCTTGCGCGCCTTCGCCTCCTGCGCTAACAGCAGACTTTGCTGCATGCGCAACACTTCCGGCGCCGGCTGCACATCCTGCAACTTTAAGCCATGCAACAGTGAGTTCTTAGTTATGCTAGCTTTGGTTGTTGCTGCTACGGTGGTTGGTGTTGTTTCCGGCGTTGCACTGCTGAGGAATTGCTCGGTGTCCGTGTGGAAGTGCGTCACGTCCGCATCGTTGGAGTTGAAGGTCGTTGAGAAGCTGAAGGAATGATTGGCAGCGTTGTTCGTTTGGTCATCATTGGAGGCGCACGAGTTGCTTTGCGAGGCGGACGAGTTCAGCTGGAAGGTGACGGACGATTTGCGCGATGTTTGCGCCGAGTTTGTCGTGTCAATGGAGGAGGATTGATCGGAGCAAATCGAATTGAAATGTTCATCGCCAGAATTCGAGCGGAATGAAGCATTTTGTGAGGCGCCACCGTGAGCCTGTGTGGGCGCATCATCTACCGTTTCGCCGGCGTTCGAAGGCTGCCGGAAGAAGCACTGACGTGGGAATTGCGAGCCAGAAGCATTGCGTTGAAAGCGGTAGGTGGGCTCGCTGTCAATGACCTCCTCAGTGAGCCGCGAAGTCGAGCTGTATTTGGTTAAATCGCCGCTCGATTTGGAGTTGAGGCGCTCAGAGCGCTGGCTGCCAAAGCGACTGCCCGCCGGCACCGTTGTGAACATTTCCTCCAGCGACTTTTGCATTTCATGATAGAAGGCGCGATCGTAGGTTGGGTCGTTCGGCTTGGTGATAAGGTTGGTGGAGCTGGTGCTGTGCAGAGGTTGCGGTGCCAGCTCGTCAAAATCAGACAGCAGCATAACGATCGGCAACATCTTCGTCTGCTGTTGCTGCTGTACGCGTTTTTGTATGCGCTCGATGGCCGACAGTTCGCTGTCGAGTGAAAGCTTCTTGCGGCCCACGGCTGGGCTGTTCCCGAGGCTGCTGAAGCCGCTGATGGCGTGCTCAGATAGAGGTGAGCGGTCGTGGTATGCATACGGCGACATTGGCTGCTGCGACGCTGGCGACACCTTGCGGAATGGAAAGCAGCTGACGGTGGGCGTGGGAGGTTCGGTGTCTGTGTCGCTCTGGTCCGAAGCCGCATAGTCGGGCGCTGGCGGGAACTGGTACTGCCAGAGCGACAGAGGTGGACAGGGATAGTGCGCTGCCACATCTAGACCATCCTCTTGGCTACGAGCCATTGTCGGCGGAGGGTGGGGGCTTGGATGCCGCGTTAAATGCTGCTGTTGCTGATGGTGAAGTTGTTGCGCCTTCAGCTTTTTATTACTACACAAGCTGAGACTCTTCAAACTAAGCGCGCTGCCCGAGTCCTTTCTACTACCGCTATTGTTACTGTTATTGTTATGGTTGTTATTGTTACTATGATTAGCGTTATTCCTACAGCTATGGCTATTATTTTGGATCAGTGTACTAGTACTGGTATTACTACTACTATAGCTATTCGTATGGTTAAAGTTCTGATTGCTGTTGTTGCTTTTATTATGAATGGCCGGGTCAAATATGAAGTTGTTGGTGGCAATATTGCCGCTATTGTTGCTATTGCTGTTACTACTCGAATTACTGTTACTATGATGTTGAGATGGCTGATGAAGCTGATGCGAATGCGGGTTGCTGTTATTTTTGAAATTTATGATTGAAGTGGCATGAGGATGTTCGTTTGAATTATTCAGTAAGGGGAATGTCACCAGCGATGAGTTGCAAGATTTTGAGCAAGGCGATGAGTTCGACTTGTTGTTGTTATTGTTGTTTGCGGACGTTGCCGTCGGTGTAGTTGGTGTTTGCGTCGGTGTTGTATTGCTACTGTTGTTGTTGCGTTTGTAATTCCTTATAAAACAAATACCTGACTCGTTGTAGCCGAGACAAGCATCAGACCCATACGTCGTCGGCGAAGTGGGCGAGCACGGCATCGAACCGAATTTATAGTCGCAGTGATGAGCGTGCGGATGTTTGCGGCGATGATGGTGCGGCGAATGGCGATGATGGTGATGGGGATGCTGGTGGTGTTGCTGATGCTGGTGATTATGATGAACATAGTGGAGTTGGTTGGGTCGCACAGGTTTCTTGTCGAGATTGGGTGCACTCTTGCTAAAGAGGGAACTGGTCGAGGCTGGGCCGGGCCATTCGGTGGCAAGCAGTGCAGGCAGGTGGGGACGCTCGCGCTGGTGCACTGTAGAGGGGCCCCATGTCTTGCCTTTATAGCCGTCTGGCGGCAGTTGCGGCGGTGTAACTAACGGCGTTGTATGTGGAATTCGGAATTAAAAGAAATGAAAAACAAAAGAGAAATAAAAAATTAAAAAATTATGATAAAAAACAAAGGAAAATTAAAAACAACTTAAATACTAATAGCTAAAATAAATGCCAACTAAAATTAACTAAAAAACTAAGAAAGCCGTTATAAAAAATTTTGAAAAGGCAAGGAATTTATAAGACTATGTTTAGGGTCTTTGGGGATTATACGGCATAAATTCGGTGGAAAAATGATATGAAAGTTTGATTATAGCAAAACTTCAAAACTTAAACTGTTTGACTTGGAACACCTTTTGTGTCCCGATTTTATTTTATTTTACCCTAAATTGTTGAAGAAATAGTATACTTACGTGCCACAATGCGTAGCTGGGAAATCGCTGGCGAACCAGGTGGTGTATCAGTCAAGGGTTTGTCGTGTATCGCCGTTACCGTATGCCGAAAGTCAGTTGGTAATGAGATTTGCACTTCGTTCTTTTTGAGAAGCTGCAAGAAAATATTTTCCATTTTAACATTTTTGCGAAGTACACTTCCAAATTTTTTTTAATAAGTTTAAAAGTTTTTTCACTCATCCAAATTTACTAAAAATTTAAAAAAATGTTAACTCTACAGCCCGCGACAAAACGATAGCACCTCAACATTTTCTACAGTTTTGACTATTTATCTTTTGTTTGTTTAATGTTTATTATTTTTAAATAAAAGTAAGGCTCTTTACCTAACAAATACCATATAAATCAAAATTTCAGACTATGTAAAAAAATATGAAAATTCCACAAACTTTTCATCCCAATTCCAAGCATTTTCATTTTAATTTCTAGTATTTTAATTTGGTATGCAGTTTTATAGCTAATTAAGTTCTAGTATAATAAATTGCAAAATTGAAGTTGCTAAAAAATCGTGTTGATTTTTGATAATGTTTTTTTTTTTTTTGCTAACGGTCTAAAGCAATTTCTTCCATACAAAGTAATTTTTTATATGGAAAAAAGTGCATACCACCGTCAGAAAAAAAAATTTTTCGAAAATCAATGCGATTTTCTAGCAACTTCAAACTGTTTATTATACTAGATTTTAATGAGCTATAAAACTGCGTACCAAAAGTTTGATTAGAAATTCTAATTAAAATACTTGGAATTGGATGAAAAAATTGTGACTTTTTTTAAATTTTTTGTGCAGTTTGAAATTTGGACTTATATGGTTTCGTTAGATAAGGAGCTGAAATTAAATAAAAAATGAATGAACCTTAGAAGAGGCAAAAGAAAAGTAGTAAAAACTGGTAAAAATGTTGATGTTCTATCTTTTGTCGCGGGCTATATGTATATTGGAATTTTTCTCTACTGCCTTTTGAGGATAAGAGGTGAACAACTTTCATATTGTGCTTACCTTGAGTTTCACTTTGCTAAATTTGCCACGTCTTCGATTCGGTGTGGGAGTATGCTGTGCGATCTGCAGCTCACGCCCAATTAAAGCCATTTCGCGCAACTTCAAGTGCTCAGCGAAGCGTTTCAGATTCATGGCCTGTTCGTCCTGTTCGCTTTGAACACGGTTCAAGCGTTCCTCTTTGGTGCGCAATTCCTGTGAAAGATAAGAATAGAAAGTCAATGCTAAATGAAGTAGAAAGTAAAATTAAAAAAAAGGAAATAGAAAAAAACTGCACATGCAAGCATTTTTGCTTGACAGGTAAATTTTTACCAGTCATTTGCAGAAAAAGCACAAAAATTAAAAATACGTTAATTGTAAAATGACAGGCACTTTTCAGAAGAATACACAATTTGGTGCATTTCTTTTGACCAAATCGTCGATGCAAAGTGTTTTTCACGTTTTTTTTTTTATGTTCGTGCATATTATTTGCATATTTGTGATCAAATCGTTAGCAATAAAGGCATTAGCAAAATAAACAGAAAATCTCCAACATGCAACGTAAATAAGAAACAGTTACATTTAAGTTATAACACAAAAAAAAGTATGTCTTGCTTCGCTATCGTAATGAAACCCAGCCCAATAGCAATTTTATAGTTTTTATGTTTAGCAAATAGTCGGCAAGAAAATATAATGTCTTGCTTACCTCTTCGATTGCTTGGAAACGCTGTGTGGAACGTAATCAAATGAATCAGAGAATATATTACGATTTGTTCAAATATGCAAACATTTTATAGAAATGTGCGAAGACACAACTAAAAAACGTATAAAGGACAAGAACGTAGCCTCACAAACGTAACTGAAAACTACAAGTTACCGGAAATTACATGAAAATAAACTATGCGCGTCTAAATAGATACGCACCACAACTCTCAATTTTTCCAATTAATACATTACAACAATCAAATTTAATCGGTTATTAAAACCTATACAAATTGTTTTTATAAATACTTCGCTTTCTCTGCTTTTGTTCGCTTTGTGTAGACACTTACCTTTTCTTTTAAGCGCAACTCGTGAAGCACCTCGGCTATCTCTTTCTTCCAGCCATCCTGCATCGTGTTGAACGACTCCTGTGGTGTTAGCGTGAAACCTGAACGTGCAATATCCTCCAGCTTTGTTAGTATATCCCTGAAACCCGGACGCTTGTGCGGATCGTTCTCCCAGGAGCCTAGAAGTGAAGTAGTTTTCAATTCCAAATATTTTCAAATTACAAATTCTGATGTGTACATACTTTTCATGAGTTTTCCCCACGCCTCGGGGCAAGTTTTCGGGATGGGTAGCGTTAGCATATTAACCGCAATTCCAAATACAACTGAATACGAATCGAAACCTTTGTAGGGCGTTTCACCGGTAATGAGTTCCCACAACAGCACACCGTAGCTCCAAACATCCGAGGATCTATAAAAATAATATGTAATGTTGGGGTATAAATAAATATGAATTCCACTGTAGGAGGAATATTCCGCTTACTTGGAGTATATGCTGCTTTTTATCACTTCCGGCGGCATCCAAGCATAAGTGCCCGCCGTTGATATGCGTGTCGTGTTGTAGAGTTCGCGCGCCAAACCGAAGTCGGTGATTTTTAACGTTTTGTTGTGCAAATTGCCTCCGATGATTTCTTCCAAAATTAGCACTACAGAAGTATAAACAAATAAATACATCACATATGCGTACGTTTAACTAACCAAAAAATATGCCGATAAAGAAAAATATTCGGATATTCGATAAATAAACCATATTGCGCAAATAAATCTATAGTAAGATTCCAATAATCTGATTTGCCCAGTATTTCTGTTCCAAACTTCAATTTCGTGGAACTTGCCTTGTGATGACTTCCAGTTATAGATATGAATGTATACATATGTACATGTTTGTCAATGAGTTATAAATCGAACAATCACATTTATTGAACATTAGCAATAAAACCATGCTGATTGCGTTATCAAGAACAAATCAACTATTACATTGGGTTTTATCCCCACCATGCCTCCAATACTCTACTAAACCATACTTACCATTTGAGCTCTTCAAATCGCGGTGTATAATCGAAATGGGCGCCTCGTTGTGCAGATAGTTCATGCCGCGTGCAATTTGTATCGCCCAGTTGACCAGCACGTCTGGCGGTATTTTGCCACGTGCCAAAATGTGATTCAAACTACCGCCACGTGCATACTCCATAACAAGACAGAGATCGGGAGGCTTTAGGCAGACACCTCGCAGCGCCACGATGTTCTCATGCTTGACCACCCAGAATAGTTTGGCTTCTTGTAGCACATTATCGCGGTTGGATTCGACGTCGGGCCCAGCCTGCGGTGCCACTTTTATCGCAACCTCTTCGCCATTGTAGTAACCACGATGCACTTTGGAAAAGCCACCAGCACCGATAACTTCGCTCACTTCCAGTTCGGCATAGTCGATTTCATGCGGTTGTATATCGCCAATGGCAGAGGGCACGTCTGGCATCATGGGATCTTGGTCTGTCACAAAGTTACTCGGAAAAATGCCAACCTGTGTAGAGAAAAGGGGTGTTAAAACTCTAGAAAAAAAATTAAATTATTTCCGACGACGTGAAAAGAAATAATGTAAATTAATTTTTATTTTAAATGAAAAACGCAAACTTCCCAAGCAAAAGATTTAAGTTTAAAACAAATTAGTTTGAAAGTGAGCTGGAGGGCTGAAATTACATTACGGAGGTCTGCTACGTAAAGCCTTAACATATGTCTAAGGGGCGCAGGTGACTTAGAAGACAACCTGTGAGCTAAAATATACTTAGTTTCGCCCTATTTTTTTTTTTTTAAGGAAATTTTGGTATAACCTAATAATAAAAAATAAGTTCTATTAATAAAAAATACAACCACATTTATTTAAACAACAAAAAAAAAAGGTATTTTTGTGTTCAAATTAAAAAAAATCCCGATTCCATATACGCCTCACAGGCATAGACTTGGCTTTTAGGGTTAATTATGGAACGATAGAAATTCGGACATTTGAGATTAAAACAATATCCAATAGATGAATATGTTCTTCAGCCATTTGAAAATAAATTGATTGGTCATTATTTAATAAATCTTTTACAAAAAAACTTTCTTCATTGAATACATTAAAAAATCTCAGTAAAGTAGTATGCCTAAAATAGCCACCACAGATGCCGATAACGGTATTTAATTCAGCAGAGATAACGTTTAGATAAATACTAGTGCTATTGCTCTTATCAATGTTTCGCAGCGAAATAAGCAGTTGGTGGAGGACGACGGAGCAGATTACATTTTTTTCATTGCGATAAAAATTACTTTCAGCACAATAAAGCAATGCAAAGCCACACTAATAAAATACCGAAGAAATGCCCAAACATCGCTTACGAGCAAATAAGATTGTATATGACGTCATAGTATTACTTTACTGCTGCAATATCGCAAAGTTTTTAATTTATCACAACATTATTTATTTAAGGGAAAATTAAGATGCGTACAGAAAATGAAATTATGGGTTTCAACAAATAAATATGCAGAATGGGTTACAGCTCGGACTACCACCTACCTTATCACCAATTTTGCCCGTCCACCAGCCCTCATCGCCCGAAATATTGCTATCCATTGAGAGCACTACCACAATCTGCCCCCGTCGCAACGTCAGCTCATCCTCGCCTTTGGCGTCATAGTCGTATAGCACCGTCCAGAGCGGGCCATCGGGCAATGGTGGCAACTGCGCTGTATCGTGTGTACTGCTGCTGTTGTTATTGCTGCCAGCAGTTTGTTTGTGTTGCTGTTGGTTGATGCCGCTGGCATTTCCATTAGTGGTTTGCGCTTCACCATTGCCATCCGCATGGTTGCGTTGTGTTGCATGCGACGTTTCCGTGTGCTGTTGCTCCTCGTTGATGGCGAGCATTGGATTGGTTTGCGGTGGCGAGTGCGCTATATTATTGGTTAAACAACGTGCGGGCATATACATAAGTGGTTAACAGGTGCTAATCGAAAAAATAACGAAAAACTAACGCAAAAAAAAAAATGCTGCCAAGACGGAAGAGGTTGCCTAATATCCTCCAGCGGCAGTCGATAATATTTGTGTAGTAAGCGTACTGTGCTTCCACCTTTGAGCAGCCATTCGGTTATAGTGCGGTTTAGATACGCAGCGTAAACGTCGTTAAACTATTGTAAAACAAAACAAAGATAAAATGTTTAGAATAAGTTACAAATGGTGGACATGTGTACGTATGTAGTATATACAGAAGGTCAGTGCATTCGAAAGGTCTATGTCATAAGCATAAAGGCCAACATTCAGCCGTTGGGTTGTAAAAAAATTAAACCAAACACAGCACTGCAGTGCGGTGGCACATTGCAGAGTCGCTTCCGACCAGCTACAGTAAGAGACCGACACTTGAGATGTACTCGACCCTAATTGCAACGATGGTGAATACTGCGTCGTTGCAGCCAAGACGATAAAACATTACCTGGTGTCTACGCAATCAGTCTTCTCCCCATTTATTGGTGCTGTTCGAATCACTTAGGTCCGCAGCGGTTCCTAAGCCACACTTTTACTATGTTTTTCTAAAAATTTTAGATTCCGTCTGGCCAGCGGAAACAAAACCTTATTTTTTCACAACTCCACTTTGTGCTTGTTCTTCTTCATCTACTATGTCGTCTTGTTTTACTGCTGTTTCCCTTTCCTTTATACATATGTATGCAGTATATATACAAAATTTATTATTCGTTTGCAAAAAAAATTGTGCGCTCCTGTGAATATATCGCTAAATCTGTTTCCGTATCTCCAGTTACTACTACCAAGGATTAAGATAGTCGCTCCAGCGCTGACCACAGATTCTTATTTTTATCTTTCCCTTGCTTTTTTTTTTATTTTTTGCTTCGTCGTCGTCGTCGTGCAGCAGAGAAATTACATTTTCACTATTTCATGAGCAGCACTTTGGTTTCGTTCGTTTTTTCGCGTCGTTTATTGTTTCAAATTTTATAAAATTAAGTTATTTCTATTTGTTAATACGCATGCGTTGTATTTCCGATTAGTTAAATTAAGAATTTATCGCGTTTTTGTGCAAATTCAAGTAATTTGCAATTCTTCGTACTAAGCTGCTGCTTTTCGGTTCCACTTCCACTTCATACACTGGCCTGTCGTCTTTTGGTGATTCCATTTTGAGCTTTCATTCGCACTTCGCCTTCTGCGTGTTGCCAGCTCGCAGAAAAAAAATAGGGTTGCATGTGATAATTGTATCAAAATAAGTGATTAAGATCTGTATTTCTAGACGCTTTTTCCGCAGGAAGCGAAGTAAGAAATATTAGCGATTAATTAAAATAGTTTGTAGCTTTATTTACCACTTCGCGTAGTGAAAGAAAATAAATTTTTAGTTTCCACTCATCCGAAATTTCGCCTGAGTCAGGTGTTTGTCTTTGCTAACAGCATGACAACTCTGGGACCGTTGCTCGTCTCTGTACTTCCGCCATGCGAACCGCCATTTTGCAGCTGTCAACAAGACAGTTCAACATCAGTCAGCATCCGGTACGCGTACGTGAAAGAATTTCCTTTAATAGGGGCAGGCGTTTTTCCTCATTTGGGGCGTAGCAAGTGGTTAGCTGCTTAAAAGTGATTGTGTTGTGTGTAGTGCTCAGTAGCAAAGTCTCCAAGAGGCAGGCATGTGTGGCCATACGATGCTGATTCGGGTAGTGCTCACACATTGCTCTTGCACAGCATCTCCCGCGACCGTCCCACAATTTCCGTGTACAGGATGTGAGCGGCGTGGAGACATTGCGCGACGCCTGCTCCCACAGCTGAGTTGAGCTGCCAGCTGTGGTCGTCGTCCCTCTGTTGCAGCGTCAGTGTGAAAATTTTGTGTGAAATGAAAATTTGCTCAGTAACGCGCAGGAATTTAACGAAACCGTACACGAAATGCAAAACGATGTCGCGTGTGTGCTACATAGGATCAGCATTCATACAGAAATTTTGGAAAATTTCTGAAATGAAAATTCTGCATTCACTTAAAAATGCGCTCATGTGTTGTGTCAGTGTGTACAAGTGTATGTAAAAAATCAAGTTCAAATCAATGAAAGCAAATGTTCCCTGGAAAAAGTTACCAAAAATGTGTGTGTGTGTGTGCAAATATTTGCGTGAAAAGGTAAACGAGAAAAA